CAAGGGAGAAAAGGACACTTACCGGGCTACGTCTCTGTGACCAGCAAAAAGGAAGAGAGAAGAGATACCTGGTCAGAGAGTAACAAATCAGTAAAGCAGGCATCATGTGTATCTGGAGAAGAAGTTGGGCCTGGCTGGTCAGATTTGGGGATGTGCATGCTGACATACCCAGAAAGAGGGTGCTACAAGCTCACCTGTGTTAGATTTTGTGAGAAATATGTGCAGATGTATGTGGTTTAAGCAGTTCTGAGCATAAATGCAAATAGCTAAATAAATCCTGTATCCTGTACCCCCCCCGTTGGGCTCTTTAAATTTTGCTAAAATCTCTCCATCTGCCTGCATCACATCCACCTCAGATCAACCCTCTCTCCCCTCCATCTCTCACTCTTGTGCTTGTTCCAGTTGTGCAGTGAGCCATGAGTGATTAAAGTGATGCAACATGGGGGTGGGACAAGCTGGTGGAAAGGATCAATTTAATTGGATGTGTTTGTGCAGGATCTGGTGCAGCACTGTTTGTCATAACCAATCAGGGTCTCCCCCACTGTATGCAAACAGGAAGAAGACCAAAACTGTTCAGAGAGACAGTGTGACCTTTTAGCCTTAATTTGCAACTAACATTGATCTTTATCATTAGAAAATAGTGCACAGAACTGAGACCTTCCTAAAAACTTTGTTGTTTCATTTGTAAAATACAATACTGAATCTTTGGTTTTGGTACAAGGGAACCACATTCTGTAACTGTGGGTTACTGCCTTTGCTATGTGGACCAACTGGCAACACTAATGGCTGAGGAATTCATCATCAAAATAAGATGCCTGTCTTTCTAGCCAAAATGCTGGTAGACAGTCAGATAAGGAAGAAAGAAAATATGAATTTAGATGTCTGGTTTTATTTTTTATTCTAACATTTTAGCTCAATTTCTGACCTTTTCCTCACCCCCTCTACTGCTTGTGGTCTTGTTAGTTGCACTGAAAAATGGAAGCTCAAGACTCCAGAACCAATTAAAACCAGATTTAAGATGTCTTATTCAGCAGAAAAATAATGAAAAGAGAGCACTCCTGTACTCCAAGTACCAAGGCAAACAAATCAACCTCCATAAAAACACTAAGCAGTTAGTCACATGAACATACTTGGCAATGAAACACACTCACAAGAACGGAGAAATCACATGATACTGGTCTTTTGCCCAGTTAATGCTGGGTGAAAAAAAACCTAGAGTTATTAATATCTTCTTTCATATGCAGTTAAGCCTATTTTACACACCACAGAGAAGGTTTTATGAGCAAAAGCATTGCAACTACTGTAATCAACATTAAGAGGGATGAAGCAAATCATCAGTCAGGACACACAAAGATATCAACATAACTGAATGCAAAGCCTTACCGGACTCCTCTACAGAGGTTAGAATTATCATTAAAGGCAGCAAGGGATGAGAGAAAAGACAGAAATGAAAACAAGAGAAGGGTTCAAGGAGTTATAAGATGAGGGAAAATGTATAAACATTGTAATGCGAAGTATCTGTGTCAAATGTAGATAGTCATCTACATCAACTGTAATCCTAAATACAACAGCTAAAGATGACTCTTCACTGCATTCAGTGAACCCTTCATCTCATCACCTACACATAACCCACTACTCTCCCTAACATGATGCGAACACTGTATTCCGGTGAAGGTTTTATGTGAAATAAGCTGTTAACCTGCATCATCATATCCCACTGACAAGCTTGTGTACCTATGACGAATTAATGCAAAATATACCAACTATTACCACAGAAATTAAGCTCAAGCAATCTGATAAATACCACACTCAGTATCCTAGGTGTGCATAATACTTGGTATGTGTTTCAGGTATTTCACAGCTTGTCAAGCTTTAGTGAATGCAATGTTGTGTTTACGTGAAGAAACAGGAGTCACTGCTGTTGAATATACGATGAGTGATGGCTGTTTTAGTCTGAGGATAACATATTATTGCACTAGTTCCTGGAAAAGGAAGAACTATAAAGAAGAGGAAAGAAGCAGCGTTTGTGCTGCTCAAGGCCAGTGAACATTTGGCACCTCTTCCTCTTTGTATTAGACCATTTTATTGTCAGTCCACAGCCAAGTTACCCAGAGATGCCAGGGACTGGGGGTGCATGAGTGTGACTCAAGTAATTTATGTGCGAGTTCTGTCTGGGCAAACACAATGCTAATTTCAACTGGTCGAAGTAAAGGTGGCAGTTTTGTAACTACAGGCCAGTAATTCCAGTGTCATGAGCTTTGCTACATTCGGGTAACTTGACTAAATTACCCCATATGAATTTCAAGAAGGTTAGGTCCAAGACTTATTTCAGATCACTTGTCTAAAAAAACATCTACACTCCTACAGCTACATCTGTTTTCATTATTGGTTAAACTGCTAATTACTTTTCTCAAATAATTAATCATTTACTCAACAACAGGAGTCACTAAGGAAACATGAATATATGTCCACTACCCTGAGTCCTGATGAATTCTTAGATTTGTACAAAGTCTAAAATCCAAAGATATCCCATTTATAAAAATAGAAAACTGAGAAAAACAACAAACTGTCAAATCTGAAAACTGGCAAACATTTGGTATTTTTTTGCTTGAATAATGATCTGAACAATTAATCTGTCATTAAATGTGCTGTTGATAAATTTTTTGTGCCCAACTTTTAAAGAATTTGGGGGCGGCAAATTCAGGGCAATGACACATTTGTCATGTTTGTAAGTTCAAAAAAACCTCAAAATGGCAAAAACAACCTAAATCTCTCTGACATGCATACACACTACCATTAGCAGCATGAAAAACCCTTCATACCTGGTCAGGTTAACAGTCAGCGGGTGGGCACACTGAGTCTGGACTGAATTATTAAGACCTGAAGCTCAAATAACCACAAGCAATCTCACTGAACAGCAGACCTACACACAGGCTCATTGGGCCTACTTTCCTACCTGAATTATTCAAGCAGACACCCAAGCTAACTGTCCTCACTGGAGAATATAGGAATTATGAGATGGAGCTCCTTGAAAGGCAGTGAATGCCAAAGCCTGCTTAGCAGTCCCAAGCTGTCTAAAGAGGATGTGTGCTTGAATTTGGACTCGTTAACTGAGCTACATCACTTCGAACAAGAGCTTCACACCATGCTATTTGGCAGCTGTCGAATGGTTTGTGCTATGGTGGTAACATCTGCTTACAGGACTAAACAGAACACTGAGGACAGTGACAACGCTGACCAAGTATTACTAATTAATCACATGTAATCCTTACATGTACCCCACTCTTCAGACATGGATTGTGATTTCAGACTAGGGTTTAAACCAGAGACATTAGATAGTGTTGCATACTGGCTCAATTTGTTCTTTGGTTCTATTGTCAGGTAGAGACTCAAGAAAAGTGAAGCTCTGACCCATTAAGAAGTTCTTATCAATACACAATGGGATAAAGAATACATACTGTAGACAAAGACAGCACATACAACATGATGCAGTATGGATCTCAGTGGGAAAAAGTGTCAGTACATCAGCATATAAAGGCAGTTGAACCAATCTCAGAGCAGCAACAACATGTGAACAATGTGCACTGCCATACACGTGCACATAAAATATCTAGCTCTATTAAAGGGAGATGAAGTGAATGGACGTAATAAGCAGGATTGATTTGTGCATGCACTTTATAACTATGTCAACACTACTCTTAGATTGAGCAGTGAGAGGGTACCGACATTGAAGGCACTCACCAGAGACGGGGACAGGGCTATGTTGCCGATGGAGGCTCTGAGCTCATCGACTGAGGGCACTGCCACAACATGGTCAGGTGGCAGCGGCTTGATCTTGATTTTGAATTTTTTCCTGTGGTCCTCCTCTTCCTCCGACTCATCAGAGGAGAAGAAGTGGGACTTCTTGGTGGTAGGTGAAAGCTCAGTGTCAAGGAAACTAGGGTTCCATAATTCAAACAGTGCAGGAGTTATAAGACAGAAAAGTACTGGGCTTCCAAACTCAGGTACTACATCCCTGGTGAATATAACCTTTCTACTGTAGTGACAGCTTTAAAATCTCAACTAATTTCTATAGAACTTGCCTTTCTGCAGTTACAATAAATGCGTGCCCTCGGCTCATGGAGGGTTGTCAGATCATCAGTGAGAGTATGCGCTGTCACCCGAGTGCTTTTGGTTTGTTGTACAGGGATTATTAGTTGTGAAAGTGGCATTTCCATGCTAACAGGTTCTCAACAATCCTTTGGGAGCTTCCTGTTTGTGTCTGATGTGTCAATGACTCATTCTTCTGTGACACTGTTATTTACTGAGCCTTATTAACTTTACTGTATTTAGAGCTTTGTTAAATGGATGTTTTTACACATTGTTAAGCAGTTGATGCACTTTATGTGTGTAAAGTGGTGTTTTGTTCTTTAGGATATCTCTGTAGAAGGCAAGGATTTGTGAATATAAAGATTTGTATTCACTGATTTGGCACCTTCACCAGAATTTGAAAGGAGATGAAATATATTCTCTGTGAACGAGATTCACTGGACAACCTAAGCTCCTTATGCACAAGTTTAACAAATCTTGTATTAACACTGGAAGCAATCCATTGTTCGTAAGCCAGAGTAACTTGGCACAGAAAAATGAGATCCATTCATTCTGTCAGTCTAAGCAGTGCTGAGGATATCTCCCTCTTCAGATTCCTCATCCGGTCTGATGCTGTATCCCTCCTCATCCACCTCAGGAGAGTTCTGAAACACACAGTCAGAGTACAGCTCTTTAAATGTTTGTATGACACTATCACTAACACACTGCTGTGATATTAGCTGTATATAATAGAGAAATGGCAGCTGGTTCAAAGAGCTCCCTATGATGCAGTCAAAACAAACACTAGATTCTTTGCTTAATGAAACACGACCAAATGCATATTAACAAAATCATAATGCTAATCTACAGTGTAAACAGTAAAATGTTGCAAACTATAATAGTTATATATCCCTTGACTTGACTACTATCTGTAATCACTTTTAACATAGTAAACTGTCAATAACACATTACATTATAATATGGATCAATACTATGGGCTTACTTTATGCAGATTAAAACAAAGCAGGAGTTTTGAATATCAGTTGGTGCTGATCAAAGTGAAACACTGCTTCAAGTCAGTATAAAACAATAAGCATACATTCAAACATTTACTTACATATCTGTCCCAGTCAATATCTCCATAGAAGCCATTGGGGGCCCCGTTGGTCTTCTTCTGAGACTGAGAAGAAAGGGAAAGGTAGTCTGATTAAAGTCCCACCAGACACTGGAGGTTTCTATGCCATCTACTGAACAGTGGAACTGCCTTAACACATTTAAATGTATCCCAAATGTTAATGGAATTTCCTGTTGCCCTTTTAATGCTTTTCCCTCAAAGCCTCCTCAGAGAACGTTCTAATGAAAAGACAGCTGAAGCAGCAACACTGAGCGGCTGACTGATAAGCTGAACAACTCACTGATGTCTGATGTTTATAACAAATCCAAGCTCTACACACTACTCTACTCTAGAGATTACCCTCCTGAACATAATAAATAATAATGCACTTCCTCCAGCTCTACTGTACATGCGCACACTGAAAACTAATTTACAGATGAATTAAATGTCAGATCTATATTAAATATTTCTGAGCAACTTACACCCCCGTCTCTGTCTGGGGACCCCCTGTGGGAAATGAAGAAGACAAAATGAAAAAAGAACATAAAAGTTACTTAACACATGAACACTTCATTCTGAAATCAAGTGCTTTGCAAATTAGTTGAGCTGAAATGTTTAAAAGGAAAAACCTTTTCACACAACCAAACACACACATGTGTTCCCTAACAAATCACACTCCCACAGACATCCCAGCACACAAACCTGTTTTATGCACAGTTACTATTCAACTAAACACATCTGCACAAGTATCACACTAATAGAGATTCAGCAGGCTGACCAAATCTTCAGTGACTGATCTCATTTGTCTGTGAAGACTGATCATGCTGCGTTTGCATAATCTCAGAACATTTCTACCAAGATATTGAAGAAGAAACATCGGCTATATGCAAACAAGCTAGGGTCAAATGCACTGGGTATATTAAGTACTGGCACATAATTTTGGAGAGCCATAAAAACATGTCACAGAGGATTCATACTGGCACTGTACGTGACCCATTAGCATACCACTGTGGCTCATAATTGACTGCTATAGACTCTTAGACTGTGCAAAGTTAATAGAAGCAGCTGTCTAACATCTTTTGAGAAGAACTGTACTTCACATTAATCCTCTAATATTTTTTCAGGCACATTTATACCTTTATTAATCAGTGGATCATGGAGAGCTGGATAGGAAACAAGGGAAGGGGGACACCTCCAACAAATTTTAGCAGCAGGACTCAAACCATCAATGTCACATGCACACACTGTGCATGTGTACACTTTGGCTGCACTCCACCCATTCTGCTGTCTTACTTATTCTAATTTTTCATTTTGCTGCAGTGTATATACATGTCCTGCTGCCATATATCAGTTCTTCTTGTTAAAATTCCAGTGCTGACGTTACAGCCAGCTCTCTGCTTCCCAGCACAGCAACACTGCAAAACACTAAGTAACAGACATTTTTCACAGCAGGTGATTCAAGTGGTCACAGCAGAAAAAGCACAGGTGTAGCTAACAACATTAACGATGGCTGTGTTCCATTAAGTGTCTCAATAAACACCAAAACTCAGCAGCAATGCACAAAACAATTATCCTGGAAATGCTCACTTAAATGGAATGCAGCCATCGTGAGTGTCAATTACACCTCTGCTTTTCCAACTATGACATGCCAAATGTCTGCTGTGGAAAAGGTCTATGGAATGACTAATATGATCTGTGTTTGGACCACACACCAGGAGGACAATCAGAACTTACGTAGAGTCACTGTCTTTCTCTTTCTTCCGTATCCCAAAGGCCTTCCTGGTACGTTTTTTCAATCCTAAGGAGAAATAAGAGACAAACGGCTGACTTATTACATGAAGAGACACCAAAAGCATTACTAAAAGGTGCTGTCTGTGGGTGGGTTAAAGGGTAGGTGGGTCAACTGTCCGGCATTTATCATCCAAGGGATTAAAGGAGATGTTTTTATGTATTATTGAGTAACCCTCTGCATCAATGTGAAGGCAAACACTCTTTTAGAACTAAGATGAGTTCACAGGCATTGCAGATGGCCTTGCAATACTTAGGGCATCTTTTTGGAAAGGAAAATTCATTAGCACTGCAAAAATCAATGTCCTAAGAATTTAACAAAAATAGATTAGACAGCCAGGGAGCACAGAAGAATCTACTGGAGGTCACACAGCTGATAATACAGCAAACCTCCATCAATAATGCTACGTGGAGCGTGTGAGATCACTAATGCATTGATCTGTCAAGCAACTGCAAGTCAGAATTGCTAGTGGACAAACTAGGCTGCATGATTATGGCAAAAATCATAGTCATGATTATTTTGGTCAAGATGATTATTCACTGACTCTGAAAACATCATGAATTTATTGGCCTGTAAAAATAATTCAACTAAAAAGCAAATGATTTCATTTACCTAATTGTGACTGACAGTTCTGAGGAAATGACTTATTATTCTATATTTATTTTACTGAATTAACATTCTTCTATCCCATCTGATATGATGGGATAGAAGAATGCCTTTCTTCTACTAATGGGATGTTCAGTCACTGTCCATAGTGAATTTTTTCCCAGCTGCCATAGATTAATTATTTTAAATATTAACTAACCTGTAAAATTATGCTGAAGAAATTCTCATGATTGTCATATCACCCTTAAACCCAGTTGTCTCCCCTTTCATTTCCTTCCCAATAACTCCTCGATTTTCATTCTTTCACATCCATGTCTAGCTGTGAACTCATCATGTCACCTCATGATCAACCTCTCTCTTTCTCATAGGACAGGCAGATAAATGCTGAGCTTCAGTGCAGGAACCTGATGCTACCTCTCGCTAACCAGGCCAAGTATTATGCTCCTGTCCTTGATCTGTGTCTGGTACTCAAATTCAATACCAGTGACGCCACTCATGACTTAAAAACAAACATGATGATCAAAGCAAATTAATAAGAAATTGCAAACAGTGTGCAGATTCGATAAAGACCCACAAGAAAGATGCAAGTGAAATGCAATAGGAAATTCCAATAAACACTTCACACACAATGCTTATAGGCATGAAAAATGCTTACTCTTTCTTTGAAATATATTTTTATATCACTAAGCTTTGTACCAGCATGGCCAGGGAAAGGACTGAGAAGAGAAATCAATCCAGAAAGACCTTCTAGCTATGAGGGCCTCAGTGAGAAATACCCCCTCACTGATCCTGCTAATGTATTCAGCCTTGAGCCTTTTGAAGAGCCACTGTCACAGTTCAAATAAATGCAGAAGAAAAGCACACACATACAGTGGGTACGGAAAGTATTCAGTCCCCCTTAAATTTTTCACTCTTTGTTATATTGCAGCCATATGCTAAAATCATTTAAGTTCATTTTTTTCCTCATTAATGTACACACAACACCCCATATTGACAGAAAAACACAGAAGTTGACATTTTTGCAGATTTATTAAAAAAGAAAAACGGAAATATCACATGGTCATAAGTATTCAGACCCTTTGCTGTGACACTCATATATTTAACTTAGGTGCTGTCCATTTCTTCTGATCATCCCTCAGATGGTTCTACACCTTCATTTGAGTCCAGCTGTGTTTGATTATACTGATTGGACGTGATTAGGAAAGCCACACACCTGTCTATATAAGACCCTACAGCTCACAGTGCATGTCAGAGCAAATGAGAATCATGAGGTCAAAGGAACTGCCTGAAGAGCTCAGAGACAGAATTGTGGCAAGGCACAGATCTGGCAAAGGTTACAAAAAAATTTCTGCTGCACTTAAGATTCCCAAGAGGACAGTGGCCTCCACAATCCTTAAATGGACGACGTTTGGGACAACCAGAACCCTTCCTAGAGCTGGCCGTACGGCCAAACTGAGCTACCAGGGGAGAAGAGCCTTGGTGAGAGAGGTACAAAA